AAATGAACTAATGCATTCGATAGATAACACGAACTCGGCTCAATTAAGACTCGATTATGTTCATTCAAATTAGTAAATAAATAAGTTTGAACAATTTTTAAAACCTCGGAACTTAAATGAACTAAATATGAATACTGTCGAACTTGCTCATTTGTGTTCTCGAATAAAATCGTTTATTGTTCAACTTATAACTCATTCAATACTTGATATCAAGCTCGATGATAACTCGCTTTATATATGATATATTATTTAAATAAAAATTAATTAACTAGAATTTATTTAATTATAGATTTAATGGTAACATACTATTATATCAATAATATTTTTTGATTAATTATTAATTATATATTTATTTTTATTAAAGTTTAGGTGTTAGATGCAAAAATATATAAGATTTGTGTGGTATGTAGGAAATGTCCCTTAAAATTTAACTTTAAAGCCTCGCAAACCTCACTTTCCCTCTAACCTCTCACACTTTCGTGTTCCCAGTTTCGCCCGAAATATATGAAAGACTGAGTAGTTAGGGTGTGCAAACATCGAAGGAAACAATGAGATCACGGTGAGCGTGGTTCTTTGACCTCTCGTATATATTTATTTTCCACTCTGCTTATAAATTTTACCTCATTTAAAAGAGGTGTTGAGAAAATGTAGTACAATTGTTGTGAGTTATATATGATTATATTTAAATGAATTGGAAGAATTAAGAAATGAATCTTATGATAATGATAGAATTTGTAAGGAAAAGGTAAAGTTATGGCTTGATTGGAAGATTAACCAAAATAACTTTGAACCAGTAAAAGAAGTTTTGCTTTACAATACAATGCTGAAGTTATTCCCTGGGAAATTGAAGTCTCGTTGGTTTGGCTCGACTCGGCTCAATTACAACCTTACACACCATCAAAAAGCCGAGGCACAAACCAACATCAGAAAGAAGAATAAGATTTGAGATGGATTAGCACTAAGAAACACCAAATCTTACAATCAAATAAATGAAAAAAGAAGCACAACCAACAACAAATAAAAAGGAAACTCTTTAAAACCATAAAAAAAACCTAGAATTTACCAAAAAAAGAAAAAAATAAACAAACCAAACATAAAAAAACATATGAGAACATATGAGAAAAACAAAAAAAAAATTTTTTTTCATTAGAAACACTTTTATTAAAAAAAGACAAAAAAAAAAAAAGATGATCATGAATTTCAATAAAATTTGAACATAAAACATAAAAATATTAAATTGATTTTTCTTAAAATAAGAATATCATAAATTTTTAAATTTTTATGAATAATATTTCACGCATAATAAATAAATTTAGTATAACATATTTTAAACCAAATAAATGTGAACAAATCAACACTAGAAAAAGTATTCATATAAATACAAATAATTAAACTTGTGATAGTAAATATTAACATTATTTGAAAGATATCATAAGATAGGAGAAGGTTATAAATAGAATAATTAACATTAATAAAATAGCTGAAATTTAAAATATTAATACATAAATGAGAAGCATTATAAAATTTGAAATTCATATTGATATTTCAATTACTCCACCGCTGACTATAAATAGAGGACAAAATGGCTCATCCGTTTCCCTTTCACTCTGTCCTTCCTGCTCCGAGGTGTCAACTGGTCACCAGCCGAGTCCAGGCCGCGGTAGAACGGTAGAAATCTCTTTCCTTCTTTAAAGCGTCTCTCTCGTTCTCTCTCGCTCGTTATCTCTCTCTCTCTCTCTCTCTCTCATTAGCTCTATCGGCGGCAATTTCGTTGGTCTGTCGGAGATGGCCCTGGAGATGAAGGATTTTGGCTCCGGCATGGCTGTTTTTGGTGCTCAGGGAATGAAGTCCGGTAAGAAACGGCCGATGCGGTGGTCTTTCTTGTTATGCCGACGAGCGCCTCAAATACCTAGTAATTAGGTTTCTTTGCTTCCTGTTTGGTATCTGCGTTTGTTCGGAGGGGTTTCTCTCTTCTGATTGCCCGATTTCTTTGCTAGCATTCTGATCTCTTGGGTTTTCTTTAAAGAAGTGTTGGTAGATTTAGGTATTTGTTCCGTTCTTGGGATTTCTTGTTCGTCTTGGTTTTTGAGTTGGTTTCGGTTGGTGGGAAAGGCCTCTTGCCCTTCTTTAGCTTTTCTTTCTTTTCGAGCTGGATAAAAAGTTGTTCGGATTTGTGTGCTTTTCTGCGATTTTCTTGAAAATGTTAGGGTTGGATCTTATAGGATTCTAAGTAGTCTGATGTAATGGGGAGAAAAGACTCAAGCCTCAAGAAGGTCGGAAAACTGAATTTAAGAGAAGAAGCGGCAAAGGCAACACTGCGTGCCGTGCGACAACAAGGGCATGTGTATGTCGAGCTGAGAAAAGTTTCCGACAGCAGCATCTTCTTCTGCGCACTGTGCCTTACTCAGTGTTTTAGCGAAGCCGTGCTTTATGATCATCTTCGAGGAAATCTCCACTCTAGAAGATATAATTGTGCTAAAATTACTCTTCTACTTCCCAATCCATGGCCCTTTAATGATGGCTTTCTTTTCTATGATAACTCTCGGGAAAAGGATCTCAACATCATGCCGGTTTCAGAGTCTCAAAGGGATGTCGTTATTGCGGTTACTGGAGTTAGTGGATCCCCTGCTAATGTCGATGAACTAAGATCAAAGTGTAGAGGTACCCCTGATCAAGATCTTGTCGAGCTTACATCAGATCATAATATCAACGGTAGAAATGCAGAAAAACCTGTTACTGTTCATAAGAAAATTAAAAAGTGCATGGGTGTAAAGGAACATATTAGCCTTTGTTATGTCCTTCCTAATGAGAAAATTTTCAATATGGAGTTAGAAATCATTGGTTATGGACATATCAGTGGTAAAATCCACGAGGACAGTGAGAGAAACTGCAAATTTAGCAGAATATGGTGTGCTTGGCTGGGTGATGGAAATTCTGATGGTTGTGATGAGCTATTAGCATCCCCAATCTCTGATTTTGCTATAGTGAGCTTCTCCTACACCCATCTTCTTGGTAAAGTGTATGACGTGCAAGATGAGAACTGGTCTCACTCACCTGGTTCTTCCCTAGAGGAAAAAGAATCTGGCAGACAAAACAAGAAGATAAAGAAATCATTCCCAGATGATCCTTGTGCTTCTGCTTGTGAGCATTCTCATAATGCAGATCCAGAGAATGTGGCACATTCTTTTGATCATTCACAATCTGGACCTTCTCAGCCTATGCAAGAAGCGCAGAAGCAAAATTGCTTAATTTCCAATAGGCCCTGTTTTATCTGTGATGAGCGAATGATTTTTGGGAAGGATGTTGCTACATTGTTGAATTTAAAGACTGGTAGATTTGCATGTAGCAGCAGGAATTTCAGTGCAGGAAGCTTTTATATTTTCTTTTTCTTTAATATTATTTATTGATGCTGTGAGAGCTGCATAACCCATATAAATCTGAATATTAACTTTTTCTATAACATGCAGGCATTTCATTTGTTCCACGTCTCTTGCCTTATAAACTGGGTACTACTTTGTGAGTTTGAAATGTGGACCCAACGATCAATGAATCCCAGAAGAACTCGAGGACGCAAAGGGAAAGAACCAATCAATAAGAGGGTTATGACTTCTATAGTTTGCTCTGCATGTATGGGTAGTGGTATTCATACTGAAAAGGGTGCAAGAGAGGGGAGCCGTTTTCCTCTTCCCCAGGTTTGCCCTCTTTCTTTTGTTGTGTTTTGATGATTTATATGGAGAGTTAAAAATGCATAATATTGCAGTGTGGTTTTATTGTTGGTTACAATTTGTCCTTTCAGATATTGGACTTTAAAAAAAGAACTATGGAAGGTCACAAAGCATGGATGGAAAGTCCAGAAAATCTCCAGAATTGCTCTACTGGTCTTTGTTTTTCTTCTGTGTTCACCGATAAGTTGCAGGTTCAGCTTATTTGTCTTTTACTTTCTGGTGTTCAAAACAGGATTTTAAGTGTTCATGACTGATTCTTTTCTTTGCTGCTGCAGGCAAAGTCGAGTCCAGCAAAGTCGTTGCTCTTCTACCGAGTTGGTGAATAGATTTTGGGCTACCGTGGTGTGATTGGTTATGGAAGAGTTTACTGCTGAATGGTTCTGGTAAGCTCTTGTAGATATCTCTTAGTTGATTCGTGTAGAAAGTTGATAAGTTGGGTTAGTTTGATACTATGATTGATTCTACAGATGGTGGGAGTGTGTTCTTTTTAGCTTTGGTTGAAATATATACGCAGAGAAGTTCATTTGTAATCACTGTACATGAATTTGCTGTGTTAGTTTAATCTGAAAGCTGAAGAGTTTACACAGTTTATATTTCAATGATTGGTCTGTTCTTTCACTCTTTTTTCTGATCACCTCATTCCAGAAGGAAATCTTCATCAATAAGAAAGTTTAGGTGATGTTCTGTAGTGCCTATTAGTAAAATTAGCACTGGATTTACTAAATGCAACCAAACACTAAAATGCAGGAGTTCTATGAATTTATGTATTTTTGAATTTAAGGTCCCAAATTTGCTTTCGATTCAACTTAAATTCGGATTCACTAAATCTAGGGCTAAAGTGGATTTAATCGATTTACCATTCACATATTTACTAAATCTTGTGCTAAATTCTACTTGCAGCCAAACACTCCCTCGTCGACAATATGCTAAAAGGGGACTTGTGGAGTTGAACTTACTGTGTAGAATATTGTCAAAATAAATTTGATAATGTGGGAAATCTACAAGTGTTGATAAAGTAATGATGGTTGGATAAAATTTGTGGAAGGTTAGAGATGAAGAAGGAAAGATAAAAGGTAAACATGGCTAACAATTTAGGAAGACATTTGGGTATATGACACCTTAAACAACTTACTCCGTGCTCAATATAAATGAAGGGAAAATTGATAAAAATTTTGTTTGAAAAGTCATTTCTGGCTTAAGTTTTGAGGTGTGCCTTTAGCTGAGTTGCTCAAGAAATTTTTTGTGGGTTAAATCTCACTCACCAGTGAGACTAGCTTTTTTCATTTGAGGCGTATGTCAAGGCATTTAAGAAAATGCCTCGATCAAATTATGTATAAAATTTATAGTATAGTATATTAAATTAAAATACAATGTTTTAATAATATTATAATTAAAGTATGATTATTTGATTATGATATTAATTTATTCTTTTCATTTAAATTATATTAGACTTCAGATTAATTGGTAGCTAGAAAAAAATTGTAGTAAGTAAATGTCATCATAAATTTATAAATAAAATAAAATTAGTTAATTATTAAAAGATGATGAAAGTAAGGATGATGCCGAATATGAATCTTAAACCTCATGAAAAATTTAAAATTTAGGTGAATGTTTATCTAGAATCATATTTCATACTTTTATTTTATATCAATATTCGAGTTTAAGGTTTGTAGTTTGTCTTTAGGATAATAAATTAATTTTTCATATTAATGATTTATATCATATTTATGAATTATTTCTAATAATATATGATTTTTTTTTTAATTTTTCATATTAACTTTATTTGCTCTTGTCATAATTTGGATGAAAAAAATTTTGAGGCTTACACCTCACCTCGTTAAGGCGGAACACTTTATTTGCTCTTGTCATAATTTGGATGAAAAAATAATGGTGGTGTTGATGATGATTTTTTATTTTTTATTTTTCCCCTTGACCTTGGCATAGAAAGTTGATATCTTAAAAAGCACTTTTGATTATCTTGAGTGTTAGACCTGATTCATATCTCAGTTTTGTCAATGTAATTCCATCCAAAGAAAAAGCAAGTTTTGATCCATTCCTTTTTTCTTCAAGTATTTTAGGCATTAGTGATATTTAGATATCATAAAAACTATTAGCTGCTATTCGTCAAATGACATGATATTACGCATGCCAGCTTACCAAATATCATCTTAATTGCTGTTAATTGCAAAAGCTTGCCATCTATTGTAATTCATCAGCATTTGGCTAAGCATGCCACAGAACTAAAAAAAGTTTTTTTTTTTTTAAAATTTTATTAATCTCATAACTATGCATAAAAGTCTAATTTTTGTTATAGATTTCACTCCTATTCTTTATGTTAGAATCAATGTGCTCATAACGCTTTTGTTTGTCATATGTTTGTTTAATTATTTGCATGGCTTCCAAAGATTCTCATGTTGTTTTCTTTTGATATTTTTGCCAACTGTTGTTGTCCTGCTTGCTAGCAGGACAAAGTTGGGTGTATTTTAATGTAAATTCTATATAATTTTTGAAGTATAAAGTTCTTAAGCTTATTTTTTTTGTAATACAATTCAATGATGAGCTTAAAATTTGCTATTTATTTCTTCATTTGAGTAAGCTTATGATATTGCTGTCATTCTTTATAATCTTCTTTTA